TGTGACCCTGGAGCACAAAACCAGTCTTAAGTTGCTGGGGTATATTTGTAGCAATAGCCAAAAATACATTGTTTGGGTCAAAATTATTTTTCTTTTATGCCAAAAATCATTAGGATATTAAGAAAAAGATCATGTTCCATGAAGATATTTTGTAAATTTCCTACTGTAAATATATTAAAACTTCAGTTTTGATTAGTAATATGCATTGCTAAGGACTTTATTTGGACAACTTTAAAGGCTATTTTCTCAATATTTTGATTTTTTTTTTTTCACCCTCAGATTTCAGATTTTCAAATAGTTATATCTCAGCCAAATATTGTCCTATCCTAACAAACCATACATCAATGGAAAGCTAATTTATTCAGCAAAAAGATTTGTGGTGCAGGGTCACATATAGTTAAATTCTGTAATTCTAATTTAAATCATTCCAATTTTATTTAAAAATATATAGTTTTAATTCTGTATTTTAATTTTAAAATTTTGGGTAATTATGTTGCATTTTTCTGTATTTTTTTTTAAATATGTCAAAAATAGTTTTCATTAATATGTTTTTTTTGGGGGGGGGGGGGGGGGGGGGGGCGGGGGGAGAGGCTTGTGATACTTTTTTCATTGCCTCACCTCATAATCAATTTTGAATTTCTGCACGACACCAAGCTCCAAAAACATCCGCAGGGAGGCAGTGATCATGGCGTCATTGTCCAGCGAAAAGTCATTAAAGTGGAACTCATCGATCCCGAGCTCACTGCTTAGGGGAATCTTAGCAGCCTGAGAGAGGAGAGGGGACAATCTCAGCAACTCCAATAGCAAGGCAATTAAACACCATAGCAGAGCCTGATCCACTGAGGGCTCAGACAGATAGAGTATATTACACTCTGCCATTTCAATTATTAATACTTCAACTCTCTCAAGTCTGAGACCCATCATCTATAAATTTCTAGGAAACTTTGGGGGTTAAGATGTTTTTTACACATCCATCTCTCTAATGTATGAGTTTAATTTGAAGTTTTCATCGCGTCTCTCTGGAGAAAAGGTTTAAACATTCTATATGCTACTGATCTGTGAATCTTATACCAGCCTTTTAAAGGTGTGTTGTATCACATTTTGCAACACTACAGAATCTAGCTCTATACAATATGTTGTTGATATTCAATTCATATGTGACCCTGGACCACAAAACCAGTCATAAGTAGCACGGGTATATTTGTAGCAATAGCCATGGGTGTAGTATGTAGCAATAGTATGGGTCAAAATTATTGATTTTTCTTTTATGCCAAAAATCATTAGGATATTAAGAAAAAGATCATGTTCCATGAAGATATTTTGTAAGTTTCCTACCATAAATATATCAAAACTTAATTTTTCTTTAGTAGTATGCACCGTTAAGGACTTTATTTGGACAACTTTAAAGGCTATTTTCTCAATATTTTGATTTTTTTTTTTTCACCCTCAGATTTCAGATTTTCAAATAGTTATATCTCAGCCAAATATTGTCCTATCCTAACAAACCATA